GGGGGATTTTTTTCTATTGTGAAAAGTGGGGAAAGTTATCACATACTTGCTGACTTTTGAGATTTAAAATCCAAGAACTGGCTCTTTTATGTTCAGTATTCTACCATGAAAATCTTTTCTTGGCAATCACCTTCACTTGAATGTCAAAAGGGGGTAATAAGAAAATATCAGGAAGGAAATGTGCTTTGGTCAATACGAAAAATATTTTTCCTCCAGATTTGTCAAGTGGATTGCTACAACTCTAAAACAGTCGCTGCTGTTTCGACCTATGGATAATCAGAACATTAAAATGCCCAATGTGACATATAATTATGAGAAGGAAGGACGCAGAAGGTTCAGAGAAGCCATGCATGAAGAATGTGACTTAGATTGAAATGATGCTTTTGAATTTTTTTAATGGATCACTATTTTTATTCCTGAGATGGGGTGAGTGTGTGTGGAAGTTGTAAGTCGAGGGCAACAGAAATTCTGAGAAATGGTGAAGCAGCCATAAAAATGAAGGGGAAAGTTTAGACGAAGGGAAAACCACTTGCTCTGAATTGTAAGTAATGTGGACTAGCAACTATCAGGAAAACGGTTAAAATAATAGTGGATTCCATTTCTGTGTGCCTGCAGAGGCTCAGGTGCTTGAGTTGGCTCTTCATATAATGATTACAAAAATAACACATGCTACCACTTTCCTGTGTGCCAGTCATTTGGCTGAATGCCTCACATGGGTTAATGAATTTATTTTCACAGCCTGAGAGAGGTTAAATAAATAACCAAACAGCACAGGTAGCTGGTGCAGCTGGCTTTGGACCCAGGTCTGCCTGGCTCCAAGGCCTGCAGTAGTGGCCTGTGAGCTGCATTCCTGGCTGTTGTCATGGTGATGCAGATGGGCTGTCCTGTATGTGGGACCCATGCGCTACCTCCCATGGGGGGCGTGGTTACCTGTGTGTGCGGTTTTAACCTATCTGCAAAGAGCATATCTGGGTTTTCAAGCAGCAGAGACTGTAAAACTATGTTTAGACAGTATGGGGCTGAATAAAGCATCCTGTGATATGTGTTCTCCAGAGGAGAGCAAATTGGTTGACTGTTATTTTTATACTTTGACCTTGTGAGTTTTAGTTTTAATTAATAATTTGACAAAATCTGAATAAGTATTTCCAAATTTTTAAGGGGAAAATTCTTTCCCTTCCTGTTGTAGATTTCACTGACTATTAGTCTTTTAACTGCCGTGTTTCCTCCTGTTTACAATGAGCCCTTATGTAACAGATCAAAATGGCAGAGTTCCAAGAACTTAACTGCTACTCAAATGTGAGTTGGGGTATGTAGTGTTTGAAATATTTTTCACTTGCTGTTAATAGCTGTTATGTGGTTCCTGTGTCCAAATACTAAGTGCATTTGCTCATAGATGTTTGCATATGAAAAATGAGATCTGGGGATGCTGAAGTCAGTGTCATACTATCGTTAACAAATTTATGTTTTCATAACTTTGCTACTGAGCTTAAAGATGTGTTCTCTTCTTTTTATTCTCAGAACATTATGAAGCTTTTTAAAAACGGATATGTATCATAGCATGTGAAGCAAAATTATCCCTGGAATCTAATAAAATTAAAAGAGAGTTTAGTAAAGTGGGAAAAACAATGGTTTAAAATTGAGGTTCCTGGATTCAAGATCTGTCAATGCCCAGCCATGCGATCTTCATTTTGGACATTTTAATTCCCTTTCCAGTTAAAAAATGAAGAAGTTTACCTAGACAACCTATAATCAAGCTCTTAGTTTTAAGACTTACAATTTTCTATGAAGAAATACACTGGGAGAAAGTAGAAAACACCTGACTCCTGGGTTTGAGAACCAGGCCTCTTATCTCTGGGCTGGGTAGCTTTGGGTGAGGTGTATACTTGACTGTCCTCAAAGTTCATTAATGAAGTGGCAGAGTAGAGTGGGCAGGGGTTAAGCGCCCTTTAGATGCTAAAATTGTAAAAGTATATCATTCTATAGCTATTCCATTTCTTTTTCTCAGATATGGAATTTCTTATTATGGAAAATTTTCAGATATGGAATTTAATTATAATATTATTGTTATTAATTATTATTAATTATTGTTTATTATTTAATATTAAATATGTGTTTATATTTCTGTAAACTGTTCATTTTAAACTCTAGATCAACCTTGTGAGTCTCTTACACAGGAATGACCCTATTCCTTTTAGTAGTTCACATAATTTTAAATATTTGAGTTCCTACAATTTCACACATTTTAACTCCACGTTTTAACTCATGCACACTCAAGTGGCTGTGTGAGCACATACATGTGTGCGTGTGTATGTGTGTGTGTGTTTTTGGCAATGAAAGAAATTTGGACATTTTTGTGGTGTGGGTCAAAAACAATTTTTATTGCTATACTTAAAACCAGAATCTAGTAAAACTCTCGGCATCTAAAAATGAATCTCTTTTTTTCCCTACATGACCAATAAGTAAGACTGATGAAGACTTCCTACTGTCTCAGGATTAGTAAGGGTAATGTGATGCTAATTTTTAAGATGGTCCATATGCCATAATAGGGTGTCATTGTGAACAAGAGGAAATATGGCAGTTAAAAGACTAATGGTCAGTGAAATCTAGAACAGGAATGGAAAGAATTTTCCTCTTAAAAATTTAGAAATCCTTACTCAGATTTTGTCAAATGTTTTGACTAAATGTTTATAAGCTTTAAATAAATACTAAGTATAGAAGCATAGTACTGAATACCTGAAATATCTTTCTGAATTTTTTTTTAATACATGGGTTCAAGGAACATTTCTTAGTAAATAAAAGTTGGAATAAGTTCATCATTTATTATATAGAGGTAGTAGCTGCTGTATTTTTCATAATCACAGTTAGCATTTGTGGTTAAGCCCCTAAATTCATATTTTTCTCTCTGAAAGGGGTTTTTAGGAATAAGTCACCCACTTTGTCAGTTCTGCCTGGCCTGATCTCCATGCCTCATGTTCCCTTCTGGGGTGATCCTGTGAGATGCATGGTGCTAGTGGGTCTGGGAGTTCAGGAGGGTCTTGGGGTGTGTTCCCTACATACCTCACTGTGCTCTTCCACTCTGACCTATATGAGAGAGCAATTTAATGTGAATCTGTTTTGAATAAAATAATTAAAGCAAATGTGTTTTGAGAGAAGTTCATTCATGACAGGTGGAAATCTATAATATAAACACAAATATTTACTGTGTGGCTTTCACTGTTCTAGGAGCTGAAGGCAGAAAATAATAAAATTCTTGACCATATAGAGCTTACATTTTAATAAAAATGATGGCACACTAGACAACTAAATCTAGACTATTTTAGAATCTTAACCTTAGATTATTCATGTTGATTCATGTGTTCTTTCATTTCTTAACTCATTCAACAAATATGACAAAGGATAACACAGCTCAGGGTAGGAACATTTAATTGGTAGGCAAAAGACTTAGAATTCTGCCCTGAATCAAATCACTTGTTGGGTGTAGTAGTGATTGACACATTCCTCACATGTCTGCTGTGACAATCTGGGCTGGGCTTGTCAGGGAGGTTCTTCCGCTCTTGTGGATCTCTCATGCATGCCTGGTGGCTGGCTGGGTATTGGCTTATTTAATATGGCCCCATTGTAGACAAATGGCTCTTCCTCCAGCAAGCTAGACCAGGTATGTTTCAGGGAGTGGGGGACTGATTGCAAAATGGGTTCTTTTCTCCAGCCTTTCCTGTTTCCAAATTGTTTGCAATGTGACTGTGGAGTCCCTTTAATCAAGAGATTGAACGAATTTCCCCGTTTCCAAAGTCTGAAAATAGAATGTGAGGAATCGATGCTGTGCAACCCTCGAGCACTAGTCATTAAGAGGCTATGCATGTGTTTGTGGTATCCCTTGCTTCTCTGCTTTCACCAGCTGTCTTCACTGGGTCCAGACATGTGTGAGAGCCCAGTCCAGATCAGCAAAGCCATGCAGTCAATCTCTAGTCAACTCACAAGTGATAATAGGGAGATTTGAAAACATGAAAAAGCAGAATATAAAATGGGATATATATTATAATAACCCTTTGTTTTTTATACAAGAGAATACACAAATATGGAAATAATTGCAGAAGGGTGATGGGTTTATGCACCTTTAAAAAATAAATAATATTCTTAATTTTATCATAAACAACAAATGTAAAGTCTTTCCTTATTGCCAAAACATGTGTACATCAATTTGGAGTAAGTACAATATTTTCCATGAATACACTTTTATTTGGAATTCCATTTTGTTATTTAAAAAGCCTCGCAACACCTAAGTGAACCTCATGATCCCAGCTCAGACCAGTAGAACTGCTCAGTTGAGACCGTAACTGCCCTGCTGGCCCACAGGTGGCTAGTGAAATGAAGTGCTTGTTGTCGTATGCTGCTAGGGTAATTTAGTTGTTTGTTACACATCTGCATTGCACAATAATTAGCCATTACCTGTGTGGTTTTAGGTAAGTCATCAGCCTCTTGACTGGTGGTGCCTGCCCCTGGACTGCAGACAGCAGTGGAAGAGAGGCCCAGGAGAAGGGTCCTATGGCGCTCTCAGGGAAGGTGGTGTGGATGTTCATGTGGGCCCCGTGTGTCCATGGAAGTCTATTTTAGTGATAGAGTGGATGGGAAAACATGGAGGAAATGAGATAAACTTGAGTCCAGCCCCCATGGCACCCATATTTATCAACTGGTCACAGTCTATGTGTTTGAAGTTATTGCCCCTTTAAGTTATCTCTGAATAAGAGGGAGAAAGATGAATGAGAGACAAAAAATAAAAAAGTCAGAGAAAGAGAAAGAAGAGGAAGCTGTATATGAGATGTGTAATTTTAAATAAAGATTAACTGAAATAAACATGAACTTCTCAGGTTTGGTTTCTGTCCCCTCAAGCCCACCATACTGTCCACCACACCAGGTGTATGACGGATGACACGGCAGAGAAGCGGTCCCCAAACTTCTTGGCACCAGGGATGGGGGGTTGGTTTCGGGATGAAACTGTTCCACCTCAGATCATCAGGCATTAGTTAGATTCTCATAAGGAGGGCTCAGCCTAGATCCCGCAGTTCACAATAGGGTTTGTGCTCCTATGAGAATCTGATGCCGGCGCTGATCTGACAGGAGGCGGAGCTCTGGCAGTAATGCTCAGTCACCTGTGCTCACCTCCGGTTCTGTGGACCAGTTCCTAACAGGCCATGGACCAGTACTGTGGCCTGGGGGTTGGAAACCCCTGCCATAGATCATTCCAGCCTCATTACACCTAGACTTAAAAGTCATACCATCAAGACAGATGCTTCATGATGACTCTGATTGAAGTTCTGATTGTACAGTAAGAGGTAGTGTCACACGTACAGAGCTTAGTCACATCTTTATGTGGACATTACACAAATAGCCAGGGCAAAAACCTCAACATATTTTTCCTCTTAACACTCTTCCTTGTAATCTGACCTGCAATAGTAGCACTGGCCTGAATTAAATCCTCTGGGCTTTGTGGATCTGATAAGCAACAGTTTCCTTGTTCTTGTTCTTCTTTCCCAGCCAGAGAGAATTCTCTGTTGCTTTCTTACAAAAAAATATGCCCCCCTTCTTAGCCTGGCTAGCCTCATTGCATTTCTGCCCTGTTAGTCTTTCATTTTCATTGGCAAAATGGGAAAAATGATATCTGCCTTTTCCAATATTACAGGGCTATTGCAATGATCAAATGAAGTGATTAAGGTCCAAATGGAGTTAGTATTAAGCACCAGGAACTCTGCAGGATTCCAGGATGATTTGGTCATGGATTCTGTCCTAATAAAGAAGAAAAATGTAAATGATTTATAGATTTGTCCTTAGTTTATCTTTATTTCCCCACCCTGTGAAAGTGGATTAATAACAAAAATAGACTCTTTGTGGTGAATTATCTTTGATAATTGCCCCTCATGCTAGAAAATAGAACCAGGATCAGTGACACTGGTGAGCAGCTGTCTTCCTCTAGAAAAACCTTTGCTCTATCATCAAACAAGGCTTACAATTTAAAAAGGGAAGAAATCATTTAATTAAAGAAAGAAGCATGAGTCAAAGGCCTTTCTCGCAGACTTCAAATTGTTAAAGGTAACTAGAGGTGACTGACCAAATTAGGTCAGGCAATAAATGAGAAATATGTTTAATCTTAGCACGATTTTCCACTCTGTTTTCTGTTTTGTTTCATAGGTGGAGGGTAGTTAAATATATGTCTACTTTGAGTTTGAAAATACACTTTAGGAATTGTATCTTATCAGTAAGTGCTTTACAAACACCATTTATTATCTGATTTGAAATATTGCTAATCCGTTTGAACAATCCCGTTTATCAAAAGTATGTCAAGGAAATTTTGTGCCATGTATGAATATATATATGTAAAAGTTTTCTCAGTGTTGTTAAAAATAGTAATAAGTTGAATTCAGTATAAATATCCAGCAACAGAGGATTTTTAAAATAAAATATGACACATCCAAACAATGAAATGCTGTGTAGCCACTAAATAATTTCTACGGAAATCTTTTTGGTTTATATTTTTATATCTTTTTCCTATGTACTAATACTGGAACACAATGTTAAAAGTGCTTTTCTCCAATAATGGGATTTTAAGTAATCTTAACGTATTTATTATGCTACAGGTAATATTTTCTGTAGTTTCAAAATTAAAAAAATATGTAACATAAAAATACAAATACCACTAAAGATAAGGAAAGAATTGTTCTTAATAACTACAATAAAGAAAAGTCATACAAATGGCATTAATCTTTTCTGCAGCTCCGCTTACTTGCTAATAAAACAACCAAATAAAATAGTTGTTGCATATAATAGAAGCAGAGAAAGACAAAGCTTTTATTCTAAATGGAGCCAAACTTGGCCTAGCCCAATCTGCACATGCGTACTTGCTTGGCACATAGCCTTGCTTCACAAGTCCTCTTGGCGTTGTAAATATCATGGTTCTCTTTTCAAGGACACTCTGTGTGAGAAGCACTTTCTTGGCACTGGACACTAAATAATTATTAACTGACATGTTGCACTTAATAGTTCGTCGTCTCAGCTCTTGTTTATATAAAACGTTTGACCACAGCTCTAAAACACCTCATCGTGTAGGTGGGGAACTTGTCATAGGAACTCAGATGGTAGGACCCTTTGGCTGGTTACTGCTAGCCCTTGCCAGCTTTGTCCTTACTGGCTGCCAACACCCCCCGCCCCCGGGGCCCTGCTACAGACACCAGGTACTCCTATTTAGAGCTGGTCATGGATAAGGAAAAGGCAGATTTGGCCACAGGATCTCAAAACATAGAGCCACTTTATGTAGAAAAATCTCTTGAACCTATCAGGAGTACCAGGTAAGCAAAAAGTGACTCATGATTGGATATATCTGAGGATGGCAAAGGGGCAATTGAGAGAAGCTGGATTAAGTTATCCCCCAGTGAAGAGTATTACTTGTGCTAACAAAGTGTAAATTTTCTGACACGTGACTTGCAAAGGAAAATGTGATTGATTAGCTGAAGAACTCCCAAAGATTGTAGCAAATCTTTAATAGTGTAATAATCTTTGAAGATTTTTTAAAGGAACACATACAGAAGAAGAGGAAGAAAGTTCTCCCAAGTTTGACTCAGGTACATCATGTGGTGCTACCATTCACTCCTTTATATGGTGGCCTCTATATTTGCTTTGGTCTCCCTACACTGAATGCATTTTGTTGCAATTTGCTTTTATACCAATTTATAGAAAACTTCTGAAAGAATTCCCTACATATGCTGCCTCTGCTGATTTCCTCCTGGATTCTCAACAAAACTGAGGCCGATCTCTATACCTTATCACATAACCACGGGACTGGAAATGCTTCCTCAGAGGTAACTAATGATTTTCTGATTATTCCGCTTCTTTTCATTCTTTCTCGTATTCAACTTTCCCATATCAAGTTACAATTCTGATCGTACTTTTCTTCATGAAACTCTCTTTACTTTGGTGTATAAAACTCTGGTTTTGTTTTTTTCAGTTCTTCTCCTCTTCCCTTTTCCCCGTCTTTCCTTTCAACATACCTTTTAAGTGGCACTGTCCTTAGATTTCGGACTCTAGCTTCTTCCCTTTCCACATTGTGTATCTCTCCAGGTTAGCTCAGCCTCTCTCTTGACTTCACATCTTCATCTCATAAGTGACAAGTATACACCCAAGCTTTCTTGTGACACCATGTGAAAACTTTCATCTGCCTACATGACATTTCTACCAGGACATTCCACCACAGCTCAGAATAGATCTGTCACCCTCCCTAAAATGTATTGCTTTGCTCGCAGTCAGTATCTCAGCCAGTGGCACCCCCACCCTGAGGCATCCCTTCTACTGAAAACATCCCACAGCCATCTCTCTTACAATCCCATCTTTTCACTAACTCTGGTTCATTTTAATTCTGATATGGTCCTGGTTTTATCTGCTTCTTTGCTCATTATGAAGCCCGATTTCTAACCATTATCTGTTTTCATCTGGATTACTACTAAAGCCTTTGGCTTCATCTTTCTGCCTACCCTGTACTCCCTCCTCAAATGAGAAGTGCAATTGCTCCAATATATTTCCCACACAAGGCCCAATCATGTCACTGTTCCCACACACTTTTCTGGTTCCCTGTTACCTGTAATATATAGCATAAACTCTAGCTGGGCCCTCCTTCAGAGCTCTTCCTGCTGGTACCCCGCCTCCCCACCCCTCCTGTGTTGCTCCTTCACTTGTGTGCAACTTTTTCACCCCATCCCATTGCTCATGTCCTTCCCTCTACTTAAAATACCATTTCCTTTTTCCTCCTTTTCCTACTTCTTCTAATTCAATTCAACCCTTCTTGACCTAAGGCAGTCAACTGGGGACCAAAAAAATACTGGTACTCATGGAATGTGGTCTGAGTGTATTTAATATGCTGATTCAGACATTTGGTAATTCCTGGAATTGCAAACTACTTTCTTAAGTAAAACTATCTCATGATATTTGTTAGCTGTTCCTGTGGGGGAAAGCAAAGAACACCATTGAGTAACACGAAAATGGAAGGAAAATGATAGAGAATGACAAAACCAATGTTCCTTAATGTGACCATGTGGAATGGAATGTCTTTTGGTATACAATGCATCTTTGAGCACAGCCATGGGGATTGCTGTTGTCAATAGAATTCTCAATAGAAAGTAATCAGAGCCAGTTTTCCTAAGAATTATTTTCCAAGGAATTTCCCTTACTACAATCCAGGTTTAAAAATAACTCACAGAAACAGACAAAGGGGAAAAGGGAGAAGTTTATCATCCATAAACAAATGTAAAAACCAACAAATTTGTAAGAACAAGTCAACTAAACCTAAATGCAAAATAGTATGCTAAATTTGAGAGAGATGCATATAGAGAGTAAGAGGAAATTGGAAGCAGATATTCTGAGGGTCAGATTTCTTTTGGCCAATTGCTAAAGAAATATACCATTTCAGCCCACTTGGACCCAGTTTTGCTCTCCAAAAACTAGAAGATCTTTAAGCATTATTTCAGCTTTAACATACCATGAGTATTAACTTAATTCAATGCAGTGTGTCTCTAGTAACTGATGTGCTCAGGACGAATATCTGCCTGAGATTTAGAGATAAATTCATCTTGGGCCTTTTACCTTTAAGTAACCACTCTGTAGTGAAAGAGAATGACACATACATGTTATATTCCCTCACAGAGGGTAGACTGTGGTTGGTGATATACCAGGCATACACAAACGCAAAAAGGAGCCAGCTGAGATGGCAGAGCAAGGATGAGAAATGAGCCATTTTCAGAGCACATCTCTTTGTGACACCCACATCAGTCTAGTGACTGAGTCTCTAGTGATGAGATCTGGGGCTCTCCTGGTCCCTGTGGCATGCAGTGTCGTTTAAATCAATGACTTCAATAAATGCATATCAAGATGCTGTAGTAAATGCAATGGAAGTGTATAAGCTTGTCATAAATATAATGGAAATACATTAGCTTGCTAGGTACTTAACAAAGTACCATGGCCTGGGTAACTGCAGCAACAGAAATTTATTCTCTTTCAGTTTTGGAGGCTGAAAGCTCCAAGATCAAGGTGCTGGCAGGGCTGGTTCCTTGTAAAGCCTCTGTCCTTGATTTGTAGATGGCTATCTTCGAGTTCTTTTCACATCTTCTTTCTATGCATATGTGTCTGAATCTCTTATTTTAATAAATGTGCTAGTCATAGTGGATTAAGGTGAAGCCTAATGATCTCATTTAACTTGATTACCTCTTCGAAGACCCTGTATCCAAATAAGAACATATTCTGAAGTACTGGTGGTTATAAATTTAATGTATGCATTTTTTTTGGTGAGGAGCACAATTTAACCCATAGCATCTAGTGTAAGAAAAAATAGACTCGTGTTTTGTTCATAATAAAGGGAACCACTACCCTGTGAATAGTGAGGTGGAATAATTGAGCATACCTGGATACAGATGCCAGCCCTCCATGTATTAGCTATATGTCCCGTGACGCTGCTGAGATTGGAGACCTTCAGTTTATTATCTGTAATGTGGGAGTAATAATTCTAACATCAGACATTTAGGAATTCTAAATCTCAGAAATCAGGAGGAACAAAATACTGGGATACACAGAATAACATTTAACTTCATCAGGATTAAGTCAGATATGATAGAGTTAATTAAGAAGAAATGGAATAATAGAAAATTTTTCTTTATTTAATGATTGGTAATTGAAACCTTGTCAGTACTTAATTTTCCTCGATCTTTTATGGATAATTCATGTGAAAGAGTTATTTACCACCGGTAATGACTCAACACATACCAGTGGGAAATAAACACTGAATTCTTTTTACTTGTCTCAGCATTGTGTGTTTGACTCATTCCCAAGGACATAAACAAGATTTAATTTGAAAAAAAAAGAAGGATTTTTTAAAACCCTGGGGACTGTGATAACTTGCATTTATTTATTTCATTTGGCTTTGCATTGTCTCCTTAAGTGAGCGTTCTACTCCTGTGTGTAATGGGTAGGTGCTTTCAACTCTAATTCTTACCACTGGCTATTTTGACTGAAATTTTCATAAATACATTACGATTCAATTTTTTTGAAATACTTCTTGACAAATTTTTCTGTTCATGTCATTCCAAATTTTATTTGCTTTCTCCACTCCCATTCTGTGGCAAAATATATGTACTTAAAAGAACATCTAATTTGAATATGTTCTGAAACAAATCATAAAAGCTAAGATGCACAATGCATATTGTGGATAGAACCCAGGCACTAGAGTGAAGTGGATATTTTTCTAACAATCATGGCCAACACTTATCCATTTTTCCCCCTGTGTATCAGGCATTTCTAAAGGATGGATCTTATTATCTTAGTTTTATGTGAGAAAACAGGTTATGTGTGCCAGTTCACCAGCTGGGAGATGATGTAAGCAAGGTTCAAACCCAGTTTGCTAAATCTAAGATTGATGCTCTTTAAACTCCATTAAGCTTGACATCCACTTAGTAGATTAGAAGTAACTATGTGAGGGACTCAGAAGTTTCTGGAAGGAAAAAGAAGCTTCAAAATGAGCACAGCCCTGCAGAAAGTAGTGTTGGTCTTTGGAGAGATGATTATGAGTGCAGGACTATCTGCCAGACGAGCTGTATGACATTCAATGACTCTGAGTGCTGTGGAGTGCAGGGTGGAGCAACATGAGAAAAATCTGTAATAAGAACACTTGAATTTAAAAAATGTGTAGTGCATTTGAGGCAAAAAGAATATTTTTGCGACAACACTACCTCAGACAGTGTTTCAGAGGGTGAGGGGAGTTCCCCTGATCATTATCCACCATGCAGTTTGGACACTGAGGGCTCTGCTTCTGTGGCACTGTTGGTTGCCTTTCTAATTTTCTCACTATTCTTTGCTAAAGAACCTTGATTCTGTGAGAGACAGGAACGCGCCCAGCCCCCAGGCAACGCATCATGATTGATTTGGGCTCATTATGACCAGTAATGACAGCCTCATTTCTCTTTGTCAGATTCTTAATTTTAGAGCTTTCCTGATGCTCAACAAGATTTTTGTTTCTTCTCATTCCCAGCACCTCATTCATGACTGGTATATCTGTGTCATACTTTTATCAAAACAAGATATTGTTCTTCATGCTATTAAGCAATCTTTCCTTAAATTTCTGCCTGTCTTATCATGATCACTGCTTATCATCTCCTTAATTTTCTTTTTCTGCATCTTTGTTATATTTTATGTTTTCCATGTCATTTTGTTTCATACATATATCTTTCTCTTATATTTAGTAATATATATCTTGTGTATATATTTGAAATGGCATCTAGTAGAATATATGTCTAATAAAATGTATTCTGCCATGGGATTTGCTCAAATCCAATGAGATTCTTTAACCTTTTACACATAGAACTTAAAGCAATCATTTGACATAGTGGATAGAATCAATCACATTTTTGGGAAATAACTTTCTTTCAAAGGACAACAAACAAAATGCATTAAATACATATTTTAAGTCGTATTAAAAATTCAAGATCAAAAATGTAGTGAGGATGTACTGAATTTTGTTTTGGGGCAGGGGAAAGTAATGGAGTGTATGTTTGCCTCTTGCCTGAAACAAAACAAATTAGCAAAACATATAAAACAATGTGTTTTAAGACACTGAATATCAGGCAGTAAATGACCATCATCTCTGAGAGACAGGAATAGAACAAGGTGAGCCCTATCATTTCTCTAGCTTACCGCCTTGAGAGGGTTTCCAGGATCAGGGGCAGGAAGAGGGAACCCAGACAGCCTAGTGGAGTTTTGAGTTGAAGAGATGAAGCTGAGAGTCAGTGGTAACAAAGTGGCTAGAATTTGCTCAACTTGGTGC